GACAATTTGTCCGGCATTCAGATTCCGCATCCCTATCAATTGATTCTGGCCAGCACCTGCACACACTGTTGAGTTTTTTTATAGCTCCGTGTTCACACCAACTGTAACTCGGAAATTGACCTGTCAACAAGCCTGTGCCAAACCAGGTTCGGACAAAATGACCGAATGACATAATACACTCATTTTGTGTTCAAGTACGACCGTGTTCGTACTTGGCCCAATTACCGATGGCTCAATTCCTTTTCGCATACATGATGTCACGAGCTCAGCATTTTACCATTCAACAATCTGTCCTTTCTATGGTCAACTCAAGAGAGGCTCTTTATTGTTTAGCCCAAGCAGCCTTAATCAAGAAGGCAACTCTTTCTAACAGACACTCTACTCACATCGTTGTAACAAAATTATTTATTAGCCTTTCAGATTTAATTTAAACTGAATGGCTTCATTAGTGATAAACCTGCTCTTAGTGCCCTGTAAACATAAAATAATTAAATACGTACAAATATTCCAGGCCGGATACAGAACACAATTTTTGGGGGTCCATTTTTTTTTTGTTCCCCGAAAAAGTTGGTCTAAAAATATTTCGCCCAAAATGTATTATGAAACGCAAGCACACTAGAACTCTTCATGGCATTGGTACATGATGGCGCAATTTTTAAGCTGTACGCAGTGGCTACCTTTTTTTTGCGACGTCACTGAAAGTGTTCGTTTTGGGGGACCATGGCCCCGTTGCCCCCCCCCCCACCCCCGATCCACTGTTGAATGTATTTAAGAACTGTGAACAATTATACGAATCAGCGATATCTTCTGTCAATATTGTGAAAGCGGTTACATAAAACAAAGTTGTCCACGGATATTTTTTCTGAACATGTCACAGCAGCCTGGGTTCACAATGTGCGACATGCACATGGACCCTTTACATCACGGCAGCCATGCGGGAGACATTTTGGTTGTTTTCGTCCAGCTCATCCAACAAATTAATATCCACAACCAAGATGGCCGCCAAACGGTCTGTAAAATCATTGGTCCCAATCCCTTAAATTGTTGGTGTTCATGTTTCATATTTAAATGCAAACTATGTATTATTTTTACAGAAACATAATTTTCTTCACATCTTAACGATATACCAACACAACTTGATAATGTTTCCCCATAAAATAAAATGATCAAGGGATTTGTTAGGAATGCTGTTTATTGTGTAATGGTGGTGTACTGACGTTTTCTTCATCAATCTCGATCAGGTGATTTCATTGTTTCTGTCCACTTTAAAAAAAACAATGTTCATGAAGCGATACTGTATCTGAAGCCAGCGGTTGGTGAGGTATATTAATGTTGCAAGGTACCCATCTGCGACTAAGATTTTCTGCCAGAATAGTTTAATTAACATAATGAATATTGGTTACGCTTAGGCTACGCGCTGCGTCGCGAAGTGGTTCCATAACTCGGGCCTCGTTTATTATGAGTTTACATAACACAATGTAACAGATGCTCCCCTTGTCACCATAGCAACGCGACCTTCAGATGAGGCCCGCCAGCTCTTCGAATAATTATAATAACGGCATGCTAATTAACCGATAATTATTAAATGCAGAGTGACCGCCGCTCACATTTCTGCATGCCTCATTGCTCCATCAATATTGGCTCTGAAAGAAAAAATAAGAAGCTTCAATGTGGCCCAGATATTAATGGTCGTTGCCTTGAAGTAGTTAGGTAGCTAATGGCTTGACTAGCAACACGCTGGTCGCGCGTTACTTTATGCCCTCGGTATAGCCGTTCAAGGCAAGTATACAAAGACGATATGAGTTCAACCCAGAAGATATTAAAAACCAACCTGTTTATGATTTGTTGTTGACATAAAATATACACCAAAATGTAATTTCGGTACAGTTGACCGCCAAAATAGGAAATACATGATCAATCTGAAGGTAAGACCAGGGAAATCAGAAGGATTTACTCGTCCAAAGTCGAGTAATTTGAATCTAAGAAAGAGGGAATGTTTGACGGGAACAACCGCCTAAGCTTTTATATATTTGAAGGAAAAAATATAATTCTGATGATGTGCATTCTTAATTACAATGTTAAAAGGGAAATTCGAAGCCCAAGAAACAGTGAGGAACGACAGAACGAGAAAGGACGATGTGTATTTTTGTAAAGTAAATTATGTGGAGGGAAGGCAGCCTTATATCACAGAGTAATTGGAAACTTCTCTGAAAATGTTTGAATCATCAAATTATGACCAGCCGAATTAACGGAATTAAAGCATTAATCCTACATCATCTTGAGTCAGACAATTAGTTGAAATTGGTGCTTTCTGATGGCAGCTGTATACTCTTCAAATCGCCTATACCGGTGGTGCCGTAAATCCGTGTTGGCGAGATGAGGGGATATATCCTCCCCATCCCCCCACCTACCGTCACTACCGTCACCGCAACAACAAAATTCTGTCATGAAACAAAAAATCATAATATCAGAGCTTTGTCGCCTAAAAAAATCAAGGCTGTCGTTTCAGGCTCTTGTATGCTGCTCATAGAGTATAGCTCTAGTATGCTGTTACTGTTGGGTCAGCGATGGGGGCGCTATAACGTACAAGTGCACAAGAGGCAACCCGGTCGCGTAATTTTTATTCCTAGGAGGGTTAGGGGCAATGTCATGAATAATTCATGTTTATCCATGAGAACGGACAATGACATCAACAGCATTGTTGTTAGTTACTCAACTAGTTACAATACATTAAAGCATTTTAAAGAACGGTTGTCGTCGAGCTACCACACATTAGCCTAGTGGATAGCGAGATGAGCTTATGGATACAAAGATCCCTGGTTCAAATCCACGTCGTCGCTGCTCATTTTCATCAGCTATTTTTCTTCTCCAAATTTATCACTGAGATAATTTTAAATTAAGGGGAAAAAATAACGAGAACCAAAGTCTTGCAATGATTCAAAGGAAAAGCTGAATTACTCATGACATTGCCCCTAACCCTCCTAGGAAAAAAAAATTACGCAACCTGGTCTCCTCCTTATTTTGTGTACATATCACAATCGACACAATATTGTGTACATATTTCATTTAAATATACTGCCCTCTCTCGTGAATCCGGAACTAGTTCTTACATTTTATATTCCATGGCGGTCAGCGTTGTTTCGCTATAGTGTGCTGCGTTAGGTCGCTGGTTGAATGCTGGAGGTTGCTGGTTCGAATCCTAGAGGGAATTTTTCATTTTCATTTTCCCTCAAATAAAAAAAAAAATTCTTCCATCAATTGTATTTAATCAACTCCAGATGATCGCTTAAATGAAATTCAGCCATTTCTTCTCATTCGTGCCGCTCTGGACGATTTTTTTTTAAAGGGAAATGAAGTCCCAGGACCATTTCGAAAGAGGGCAGTATATTCCTCCTATGTTAAAATGTGACACGCACACAATATTTCAATAGCGATATAACTGCAACGAAGTAGGGATGTTACGGGCACAGTAGAGGTCCAAAGACTTGAATGGGGGTAAAAGATGATGTGATTTACATTCCCCTTTTTACGATAACAGAAGGTAAGGACTCCAGACACTGAAGCCAGGGAGTCCGGCCAAGGAGCTCTGAACGAAAATGAAATTTTCATCATTCGTGACACATCTATATCGGTAGACACTGATAAAAGGCATGGAGGAACAAGTGGTACTGATCCAGAAACGAGCCTGCCGATTATGTGTTAAAAACACGTGGACAAAGTGAAGAAAAATACTGGTATTAATAACCTGTGATGTTATTCCACCTGAAATTGTTTAATTAAGAAGAAAATAATCATCGAAGGTTATTTTTTAAAGGTGTACCCGCGGGGACTCAATACTTTTTTTAATATTTGACAGTACAGTCGAACCCTGATAAGAACACTCTAAAAAGTCCCAGGTCAGACTTGACCCGGAAAAGGGTCATGTGGGGCCTGACCCTTTTCCGGGTCAAAAATGACACTTTTCTGGGTAAAAAATACACTTTGTGACTCATTTTCCGGCTCATTTTGATTTTTCGCCTGTAGCGCCTACCTAGAGCAAAAGTTTTGACTGAAATTTCACAGATGGTGAAATTTTATCAAGTTCTAAACACCCCTGTTCATAAACCGCGAGTTATTTACCCGTAACAAAGTTAGAAGAAAAATTTATTTTGGCGTGATTTTCCGATTTTATTTTCAAGTGCAAAGTGAACCCTTTGAAAATGCCCCGAAAAATAAGAAAATAATTTTCTGACAAACATCTGGCTGGGTATGTAAGTAGAGATAATAATTATTTATCAGAATTTATCAAGTTTACAGAAATTCTTAAATGTTAATTTGGAATTTTCCGAGATTTATTCCAGTGCGCCACGTTAGGGAACACTCCGCCAATTTGTGCCCAATTTCCGGACGCCACCGTTTTTTAATTTCGGGTTAAATTTTATGAAGCCGAAATTGTTCACAGGGGTTAAATAGCAAGCAGTAATAAGGTAAATGTACTAGTATTTTACTGCATGAATTTGAGGTTTGTCAACCAAGAGGTTTGGCAACACTACACGAGGAAAGTCGGTAAACGTCGAAGTGCGCCACGTTAGGGAACACGACTATACACGCAGTGGTACGTGCGGCCACGCGTCGCGGCAAAATTGCAGTCAGGCAAGATGGCGCCGGTCGGTCCCCCGTAACCATAGAGCTTTATTAAATTACAGCTCTTTGCCCCCAACTGTACTTTCTTAGCCCGCTGAGGGGGCATTTATGAACGGAGCGGATGCCACGACTTTCTGTACTGGCCTCACAGCCCATATTCCTCTTTGCACCTAGCTGACTGGCTGACTGCCTCCCCGACTGACTGACCCTCGTTTTGGCTGTTGAGGAGAGTCCGCTAGTGTTACCGGGTAGTGTTATCTTGTAGTGGCCCGGTAATGGGCCAAATTTGGCTCCTCGTGTACACCAAATGTATTAGAAGACTTCAAGAGAATATCAATTTTTAATCAATTGAAAAAGAATTTTGGGCGCTTAGGTTCATCTTGTCTGGTATATTTTATCTGGGTAGCCCTATAAAGTATACATTAATAATACATGTTTACTCTTCAAATGCATATAGTTGTACAAAGTCTACGATACTGCATCATATTTATTGCTCGTGTTTTTGACTCGAGGGTGCTGAGCTATGAGAACCTAGTGCACCAATTTAAGACAGGAACTTACAACGTGATTGTACCAAAAACGGGTCTTTAGTGGCTACGGCGTCTCTTTTTAGCCAGAGGCACGCATTTGGTCAATAGCCGTAACCACAGACACCCTTAAAAGTACCAGGTCCGAATTGACCCATCAGTCTCCGGGTCAGTGTTGACTCTTCTGGGTCAAAATGGCAATTTTGCCTGTAAAAGTGACACTTTATTTGGACAAAATGACAATTTTTTTTGCGTGCCAAATTAACAGTTTTCCGGGTCAAATAGTCCGATCAAGTGACTAAGAGAAGTGGCATTTTGACCCGGAAAGGTCATATCTCAGTGACCCAGATTTGGTTCGAGTCTGACCCGGGAAATTTTAAGAGTGGTACAACATTGCCCGGTTTTTTTTTAGTTGGACATGACAAATTCATTCGTAAGCACTGTGTGTAGTTGTTCCCACATAAAAGGCTCATTTAAGAACAATCGCTGCAATGATTAAAACAAAGTGATTTTTTTTTAATTAAGAGTTTTGAGCACAATATAGCCTAACAACAACTATACACACATATTTTCACACACTATGGGAACCAGGTCATTAATAAATACAATAAAATAATCTCTATACAATAGAATACATAATACTAACAGTTATTGCACATAGTAATTTTGGTGTATTTAACAAGATACTCGAATTCCCTGTTACAAGGGAGGTGACGTGCGCTATTGAACTATAGTTTCACACACAAACTGACTAATTATGATTTCTTCATGTTTTTATCTAATCCCTATATAAGCTCACTTTAAAATTGTGCAAAGAATTGTAACCATCAACTACTTATTTATTTAACGGAAAACAAAACAATGAAACTACAATTAATTATCAAGGCAAATATCATCACAATGAAGCTTAAATGGGTGAGAATTTTGCGAAGCCAAAAAGTTAGACCCTTTGGTTTTTCAGGCGAGTTTCGATATCATACAGAATAGTTCTAGGTGACACTAACCATTGTTGGCTGAGCATTAACGGCTTATAGGATCATTTGCATACGTCGTAATTTCATAAAATGGACTTATTTAAGGGCTTTCTTTTTTTTGATAGCAGACATCGTTCCAATAAGCTGTTCAATGTCCATTGGTGCTGGAAAACTCGAAACAAATAACGCTGTTCATTCTCAACCGTCATCGGTGATAGTGCAGCTCAGCTGGATCTGCCGCGCATACTGTCATGGGAAAGAAGTCAACAGCTGGCTCGCCGTCGTTTAAACGGATGTAATTGAAGAAAAAAATGTTAGTCACTAAGCGATGGTTAGATCATATCCATCGTTAGTACTGATACAAAATACCTCTTTTCTTGAGAATGACAGCATACAAGGCTCAACAACACTTCACATGAAGTTTCATACTATCATTTACCTACAGTGAGCTATTTCTTAATAATTTGGCAGGTTCGTTTTTGAGCGTTTGCAAAATGATCCTTTAGGCCTATGTGCTTTAATCTAGGCCTTAGTATATCAAGGTTCTTGGCAGAAGCACCACAGATATGTCAAGATTGATGAATATAGGGTATATATCCTTTAGTAGGAGGGGGCTTTTCATGTTTCAACCGCGCACTGTATGGTATCCCTCCTCAAAAACACTTCAGAAGTCATCTTTTTAACTGCTTCAAGCCTCAGGTGTTGTATGCTGAAGCAACTGCGTGTAAATCGTGCAACCACTTTCCAAAACATAAAGTGCGTAAAGCGCAACATTGAATGATAAAGTGGCTAAAATAATGCATACACTGCTTAGTTACAATACAAATGCAATAAATCGAGTTAAGAAAATGTCACAAGCTTATCCTTCTTGCCAACTGAAACTAACTTAAGCAGCATCAGCAAAATAACAAACATAATCAACGTTGGTTAATAGCCGTTCGTTAATAGAACTTAAGAACAAAACAGACTAGAGGCTACTCTACTGATTTGTATCCCGACCGGTCGTTGATGGCGCCCATCTTACGGCCCACCGCGTAGACGATAATGACGACTAGTATCAAGCAGGCGAGGGTTGCACCGACTGCGATGGAGGCTACGTTGGTGTTGGGGTTTTCTATTAAATCCTCACCGCAATCAACACCTACGAACGAGACACGAATAGATATTAGATGCTACCAAAACAAACACAGCGACAGACTATTAAGACTTGAAGACCGGATTATCGGATCGGGAATGCTGCAATCAAATAGCCCTTATGAAAACATTCAAAATTTAAAGGGCCATGCAAGGAAATTGTTTGAATGCAATCCTTGAAAATGTTCCTTTGTTTCCCATATAACCTTAATTTCAATTTTGTTTTGCCATTTTCATGGGTATTTTGGTGCTTTTTAGGTTTTTATGCTAATACGAATTTCCATATTCATGAGCAAAAGTGTGATGTCATTTTAGGCAGAAGCCTCAATGTTTATCACTTCAGCACCAAAAGTTGCCAGAATTTTGCATATTTTGCTGTCGTACATTTTCTTTTCTGTGGTGGTTCGTTGTTGTGTCAGTACATGGCAGTAAGCCAATGAGCAACCTTTTCTCTGCACAGATGGAAACCCCTACACCGAACAGTGTCTTCCTGCAATGACATTACAGCAACAGCGCCCTCGGTTGTCCGGAAAAGCATGGAAAATGTTTAAATGTTTGAAGTGCAGTTTTCAATAAAATAAACTAAAAAGGCATGTCAGATAGTTTTATACATTTAAGAGGAGCAGAAAGTTGCACAAAATATGTTCCTCAGAAAAATGCATTTCATGTACAATATAACAGCCGAATTACTATCTCTATAAACGTGCATAAGTCGCAGCTTAATCAGGGCAAAAAAAAAACCCGACTGATATCAATGTTGTGTCGGATGTAACCAAAACCGGTTCTGTCGATATTCGATAAGTAGACTGACTGGTTCCCTGCCACTCTATTGTTCTTCGGACTTCAAATGTAGGCCCATATTTTATGGGGCGGGGACCAGTCTATCAATAGGCCAGTGTTTTTGAGCGATGAAGACTGACGCCTTTAATGACATTATTTTGGTTCTAGTACAACGCGTGTAACGTCCTATTTTATTGCATATAAATTATTTTGTGTCCAGACTGGGCCCATCCATGTATTTCGAAAGAACAGAAAGCATTACAATTTAAGATATATTGAAAATATTACGAAATTATTGATGACCGTAAACTTATAACAAAATTTGACCTCAACTTCCGTTCCACTGATGACGCAGATAACAATGGGGTAAATTCAAAATTTGGAGTCTGTGACTAGACTAGTCAGTGTTTGGTACAAGACGTTCACATAAACACTGAACGTGGACTGGTGAGACTTGCACGCTATATTGACGCAAGTTTACCTGCTGCTTCAATAGACGTAATATTTACGCAGCTTGCACTTCAAAATGGCGTCTTATTTCTTTTCTTTCCCTCGAAAGAAAGAAGCAATATTTTCTGCCTACTCTCTAAATGTGAAAGAGTGAAAAACCACTCTGTTTAAGGGTCATTTATGGGGACAACTCTTTCTGAGTGTTTGTCACTATTTTAGAGTAAAGTTTGCATGAAGTCTTAATATTAATAAAGTCTTAATATTTTTGACTGACTGGGCTCAGTTAGTTTTGTCTGGAACCTACCTTCGCTAAATGTTCCATTCTGCATCCCGTACGGCTGCAATTGTAACTGACTAATTTCCAAGGTAACCTGTTCTGTGTTGTTAGAGGTTGACTGCATGACGATGTCATCCTCGGCTTCGCAGACGCGAGAGTTGCCCTGCGGTGTTGCAAAGAATGTTGCCCCCTTCTTGGTGCGGACCACGCGTTCACCAGCTGTATATGAGAAAGGTACCAAATATTATCAATGAAAACAGCAATGAATTCGCACATCTACTCGCTCGTGCCCACTGTTCTAGCTAAGGGTGCTTATGACAGCTCACCTCAAAAAAACTTAAACCGCCTCATTTAAAGGCAAATAAGCTCATTTGAATTTCATGTATTTTGTTCGCTTCCCAATAATATCCATCACTCAAAATCCAAAGAAGCCTGTTCGAAACCTAACCTGATGAAGTTTCAGCTCAGAGAATATGACACTTTTCGAGAAAACAGTGAAAAACCTTGCCCAACCTTTTGATCACGAAACACGATTTCGTCAGGATAACTCTTTATTTCTAACGATAAGTCATTTGACACCACTTACATTTCTTCTTAATGACAGGAAACCAGATGGAATAATTTTTACGGGGTGTTTAGTACCAGTGCGATCTTTAATCTAAAAAACCTTTTATATAATAATTCGCTTAATATACAGGATCATTTGCATTTACTCCAAAAGCAACCTAGTGAATTATCAAAATCGTATTTGTATTTATAAAAATCATACTGGTACTAAACACCCCGTGGAATTATTCCGTCTAGTTTGCTGTCATTGAGAAGAAATCGAGAAAATGTAGGTGATTTTCATCGATCAGTCAATTGAATGATCGATGGAAATAAAGAGTTTTAATGAAATCGTGTTTCGTCATCAAAAAGTTGTGCATGGGTTTTCACAAAAAGCTGAAACTTCAACCGTTTAGGTGCTGAACATTTTCTTGGGATTTTGAGTGGTGTTTTTATATCGGAACCGAAAACAATGCATAAAAAGCAAATGATCTTTTATGCCATTAAGTTTCAAACCTACCATTGAAAGCAGCACCGAAGTAATAGCTATCCCGGGTGTCGAATGTGAACTGGATCACTCGTGCATCCCAGAAATTCGGGTCCCCCTTGATGGTAGAGTTTTGCTATTTCAAACAAAAGAAAAGATAATATTTTATAAGTCAAAGTTCTATAAATGTTTATTCCTCACTTCAAAGTACATTGCTTTTTATAAGAAAGATATAAGTACATGGCCCAACGTCGCGGAGCTACTAAGCATGCTTGCATGCTGCAAATCAAATTTAAACGCAGGTAAGGCCAAAAAAAAAAGTCTCCGGTTTCTGGTATGGAGCTTGCCCCAAAAGTGGTGCGGCGACGCGGCTTTTTTTTTTACCTGTTTTTTTTTTTTGGGGGGGGGGGGCTTCAAATGTCGGCTGATGACTGCAAATGGTGCCCGACTAAACTTAGTGCAAATATATGGGAGTCCAGAGAGGCCACATAAAGCTTATTCTCGATCATAACCCCATCTAAAAACACGTTAAAATTGTGCAGCAGCAGGATACCAGTCAAACCAGTGAGTTTGGCGGTTTTGAGACATCATCTTGTATTGAAAAAAAAACTTTTTCATTTTGCCGATGCGCATGGCTACGGCGACGCGCGCGCATACCAGAAACCGGAGACTTTTTTTTTTGGCCTAATCGTACACTGTCAAACCTAGTGTTCAACGTTTGAACGCAGTATGAACACTTTGTTGCAACAGTTTATAAACATTGTAACGCGTTTCAGGGGAGAGGCGTAAAAGAAATAAGGTCAGGTTTGAGTCAGATTCATTATCCAGGAATCCATGTACCAAAAAAGCAGAGCCTCAAACAGCAGACCGAAGTTTTGCAGTTGCTTGAAAGTCTTGACATTCAACTTTTAACACTTTAAAACTTTAACACTTTAAAAATCATACGCGTTTAGAAGTTAAACATGATGTTTATTCTTTCCAAAAAGAACCGTTTACGAGGCAGACAATGTGAACGGGATGTTGATACTTTATTTTCCTGAAAGTCAAAATTCAGTCAAAAGATGAAGGAATTGAACTTTTGGAAAGCAAAACACTAACCTTCTGGAAGGTGATCTTCAAGCTGTACATTTCCTCGTCCCACCGTAGCTCCAGAGCTGCTTGCCCATCTGGTCCTCGATTGCAGAACCCACCAACATCTGCCTTCTTCGGGATTGGTATCTCGGCCGTCCGGTTCACCGCCTGTAGCATTTTTTTTTTCAAAATAATTTCAGAGTCACTTTTTTCCGTCTTTTAAAGCATCAGCGAAAACTGGTTTCACTAAAAATCAGTTTTAGATGGCGTTCCATACAGGGTCGCGCCGAACGCAAATGTAGGCCGATTTAGAGCGACTCGAGTCGACCCGAATAGAATTTAGTTTCAAAACAGGGGAAATTTATGAACTAATTTTGCACTGAGTCCAAGTGCGGATCCAGAACACAATTTTACAGGGGGCAACAACATTTTTGGGGCCCCCAAAAAGTGGGTCCAAAAAAATTACGGCGTGGGGTTTGGGGCCCCCTTTTTTTGGGGGGGGGGCACCGGGGCGGGGGCATGGCGGGGCGGGCCCGTTACCCCCCCCCCCCCCCGGATCCGCCCTTGCCATTGACTGGACTCCGGCGTCGTTCTGAGCGACTACGACAGTCGATCTTTCGCGTGTAGTCGCTCCTAATTGTTCAGAATAAGCTGTTTCGGTGACCTCTAGATTGCCATTCTGAAACGGGTTTTAGATCCTGAGAATTTACCAGGGCTTTATTTGCTACGGAAAATACATTCCGAGTGTTTTAGCTTTCGACTATAGATTTCCAGCCAATTATCCAGACAAGATAGTTTTTGGACTGAGATTCATTTTCACCCGTCTGACCCTTTCCCATTTTTTTTTTTTTTTAAAAAGCGTTGACTGTGTTGAATGTGTTCAAATCCGACTTCGGCTTTTAGTGGAGTTTCAGTAAAGTTAAACCGAAAATGTCCATATCAATTTTTTATGTTGCTCGCTAAACTATCATACCGTAGACGTGCAGTTGCTTGTACACAAAACGTTATCTATTTTTTTCTGCATTTGGGGTGTGTTAATACAGCTAGTCAGGCCCGTTGTCAGTTAGGAGTGTTTCCTGGACCTTTTAGTAAAAATGGAACATTTTTCACTTGAAGTGCAGATTCAAAACTTACAAAGAATTCGCGACATGCATGGATTTAAATGATGGGCCGGTTAGAAGATGCTTGGGAATTATTTTCTTGACAGTTAGTAACCTTTTATAAGATGGACAGCTAAAAGGCGGGCACGTCGGATTTGGGGATGGTCGTCCCCCGACTACAGGAATGGAAAGCGTAGATGTATGAAACTAAAAGAAATGTCTCCTCCAAAGTCTCACGACATACTCTCACTGTCTCACTACATTCTGTGGAGTCTGGTTATTTATTAGATAGAATGCGGTACCTTGCCGTCTTCGTCCTGGCCCAAGTAATCCACCTTCAATAGCGCCGCGAAGCACGCCCTCAAGCAGACAACGCCGTCATCGTTACGAACCACGAAGTCGCCCAGCTCCTGCGGCTGTTCCGTGGGCTCCGCTGGCTCCTTCGTTGAAACAGGATTTGCCTTAGAAAAGTGACAAGAAAAAAGGTTGGTTCAAACCGCTCATTTGGTCCTTGAAAGTTGACTTATGTTTCAGATCAGTGCCAACATGGATATTGGTAAATATTATAATTCATTTTTCAAAGTGATTGATTAATTAAGGGGGGTGCAATTATTTGCTTATTAAGGATTAGGCTATTGACATTTGTATTGGTTCCTGCAGAGTACTCCGCGTAGCCACAGGCTTCAATCTGCACTTCCTGACGAACGTTCGAACGTCATAAGTTGAATTTGAATCTATCAACAGCGGTTAAAGAGTTAATCAGGCTTTTGTCCGTATGAACTATAACTAGACACGCTCTATCCAAATAGGCCATGAATTTTGAATATTGTATAGATTGTTTTACTGTTTAAACCGAAGATGGTGTGCCTGGCAGAATTTAAAAATGGCATAAGCGCGTACGCAATTACGCCTCTTATGCAATTTGCGTAATCACCAAACTCTTCCAAGCAATAAGGCATAGGCCCTTTAAAAAAAAACGGCCTATTTCGTCAGAAATTAACACAAGTTGTTCCAAAACTATGATTCGTGGGGAAATATTGGAGGCTTTCAATGCAATTTTCTAGAAAATGATTTTTTGCGTCAGAACGCTCATATGCCTTTCTGCCGGGCACCCAACGCTATAGAGTTTGAATCGTTTTTTCTGTAATTTGTTCTCAATAAACAAAACCTCACACCTCTGTTTCCACGGGTGGCATTTCTGTGAACGCGCTTTCACCCTCTTCCTGTGGAGCCTCGCTCTGATCCTGCACAGCCTCGCTCTGATCCTCCACAGCCTCGCTTTGGTCCGGTTGGTCTGGTTCCGGCACGGAGTGCTGCGTGTCCTCCGCCGGCTCGCTGCCCAAATCGCCCTCCTGACCCTCCACATCCACAGGGGGCGGCAAACTGCCGCCGGGGTTCAGGGGTTGGTCGGTTGGCTCCGTGTCCGCTGCTGATGGCTGGTCCCCGGCGGGCACGTCAGCGGTGTCTGTGGCGTCTTGATCGAAGCCTATTGGCACCTCGTCAACGCAGACGCACAACCCTGAGTAGGAGGATGGAAATACCACGATAATTATCACGCACGTCAACAAAATAACGTGTTCTTGAAAAGCGCACTGGGGATTATGCATAAGCTTGATAGTCTGGTTCCCAGACCTGACAATTATTCCCGACGCTCACGTCTAAATTGTAGGTCAGGCAGCCTCCGTGGCTAAAAAATAAACATGACAACATTGATAGGCCTATTCAAAGCTCAGCTTCGTTTCCGATTTCGCTTTTAGCTTTTAATGTTCTGATCAAATTTCTAAATAAATCACTTGCTTCGTTTGATGTTTCTGTAAGATAACATTTACTAATGTTGATCTGGAATCTTCAAAATTAGGCACCCAAATAGCACTGTTTGCAGGCGGAGCCGAATGAAGACCGAGTTTTGGAAAATCTAGGTAACGGTCGTCAAATTCAAAATTGTACAGGACGCAGCAAAAAGTTCGCCAATACGATCCGAGTATATTTGATGCACAAAATCTTCCTTGAATTTCAAGTTTTCTAACTGAAAGCAATGAATATTAATTATCAACTCATTAAACAAAAATTAATAAGCAATTAGCAGTTAATTAAACATATATTATACTCGGAAATACTCGGGCGCTATCCGATTTTCGAAGAAACGAATTCGGCAAACTTCGAAAATTTTCGGAAAAAGGAGGAATTCCTCCCGTTTTAGTCACGTGACGTAAATTGTAATACAATGTATTACCGGAGGCTACCTGACCTAACATTCATCAGGAATAGTCAGAATCTTTTAGTCTGGGAACCAGACTATTAGCTTGATAATAATCCAGCTTTTTTACCTCTACCGACCATAATGGTTTACAAAAACTAATCGGTGCGTTCACCTCACTGACAGCCGAACGAATAAAATAGTAGAAGAATTCTTGGGACATTTTTTGCGTTAAGATTGAATGGAATAAACGGAGGTTGGCGGCCTAGAAGGATACGTCTTCTACCGAACCTCCATCCCATGGATGGCGATTCACGCGAAGGGGGAGGGAAGAGATGGGGCGAATAATGATTTTGGGCGGGGCATCCTCACCAGCCAGAGTAGTCCTACTCGCTTGCGTCTTAAGACTTTCGCGAGGATGGACGTACGGGGGCGGCAATGGCGATGTGTATAGATTTTAACCAAACGTAAATGGTGTAATGAAATATTAATCGTGATGTAACAGCTCAATGTACAAAATAGCACATACATGTTTGAACAGCGCCCCTTGAGTCAGCTTGCGTCCCCCCCCCCTTCCAACAGTGATATCATATCGAATAGGATTAGCCATGTGTCTAGACCACGCTTCATGCTTTTCATGTATCTTGACATTAGGGACTGTCTTGTACACCAACAAAACAAGAACGTAACGTGTTCTACTTCTGAATTGCATTAGTAAAGATCGCTCCGAGAAGATGAGGCAGCTCCCAGACGAAGGGGAGACGATTTCAGACAAGCGACCAATAATTGGCGGGTCTATGCCGGCCAGCTGAGCTAACCCTGGCTCTGCATGCGCACTTCGGGGGTTGTGGCTGCCGCGCATCGCCTGCCAGCAGGCAAGATAAATAATGGCCTTCTTCAATGCACGATTAATCAGATTCAAGAGATACTTCAAGTCCACTGGCTTCCGCATTAAACATTTCACTCTGGTAGACTGACCATCATTTTGGACGGCCGCGGTCACCGACGTCTTAAATGCTTCATTAAGTATCAAGTTCGCACTATTTTGTTGGCATTATATTTTGTATTTCTTTGACCAGGGAAGGCTCAATCAGTTATCAAAGAACTGTTTTCCCTGAGGGCCCTAAAATATAACATACTCCTGCAAACTCTATCGAAAAAATGCAACACCTCCTTTTGTTTATTTAGTTTTGCTAATTTTTGTTGGACTTATACACTATGCACATTTATTGTATATACGTTCACACTATTTCCTTATGTAGATGAGGGCGCTGTTGATGCTGTGTCTTAAGGAAGACACTCTACAGTGAATGTGGTTTTTTCTGTACAAATTGTAAACCAAAAAAACATTGCAAACATTTATGCTGATTGCAAACATTTATGCTTTGCTCAGTGATTGGTGGTTATATAAACAAAGAAATCCCCCCCCCCAAAAAAAAAACCCGAAGGTTTTGATGACGTCACTAATTTTGCTCATGACCATGAAAATTCTTATCAGCATAAAAAAAACAATCAACGCCCTTAAACACCATTAGTTAATTGGCGATGACACAATAGTAAAACTTAGACGAATGCAAAATTATGTTGCATTGGACTTTTAAAGGGACCCAATTTCTATCGCCAGCTACATGTCGACCTATTCGTGCTCTGCGTTTGGGGGCTACCGACCACACGACTACGAATTATACGTATAATACAGCCTATCAAAGCAGTTTGGAAATTCCATCCACTTCCCGTTCAGTTAAATTTTAGAGTGGTCTGAATGTTATTCTTTGGTTTTTGAGCGACTGAGGGGTGACGAGTGTATTCAGTTTGACGACACGTTCACAAATGCATTGTCAAGATCGCGAACTAGTATAAACTGGGATTTCGGAGATTCCACCCTCCTAGAAAATCTTAAGACCTTTAATAAAATATTTTAAAAATAAATTCAAAATGCACACACTACAGTATGCGGGTTCGATTTGCTATACAGGGTGACCCCAAAAAATGCAATCCTAAAACATTTGCCTTTAAAACAAAAGGGATAGGTGGATTTTTTCGTTTTTGGTTTCAGATGAAAGCTCAGAGCTTTTTCTTTCAAATACTGAAAGCGTCACGAAAGTAGTACTTTGGGATGCAGAGAAAATGCCAATTGTGTAAAAGTAGTCATTTTTATCCTGTACACAAGTACTTCAAACAGTGAAACATTTTACTGTAAGCCTACTGTGCAATTATCCTTCATTTTTAAGTATTTTTACATATTTATGATGCTGAAAGGGTTTAAAATAGGACTAAAAAGGATGAGATATCTGTTCAGGTGGGGAAAAAAGGTATTTCCATCAAATTCATTTGTACTCTTGTCATATTATGTGCCATGTTGTTTGTAAGGATTAGGACATGCACAAATAGGTACAGTAGGTACCGTGAAAATCCCTTACTATGGTAATATAATGTAGGCTATTGTGTACAGGATGAAAAATTACTACTTTTACATAATTGGCATTTTCTCAGCGACCCAAAGTGCTATTTTCATAATTTTTTTCAGCTTCAAGATTGAATCTGATACCAAAAAAACCCATAAAAATCCATGCACCGATCCCTTTTTTTTAAGGCAAATGTTTTGGGGTTGCATTTTTTTTGTCACTCTGTAGAGACGACAATACCACGGAGATTACACACGATGAAGCAAAAATGACATGGTGGAGCAGTGGACTCATTAATTCAAGTCATCTGTATTGTGGTTAGATTTATGCAAGGTTGTCGTAATAGGACCTAGTCTGTATTTGTTGTCCAGATCATCGTCCATTGCAAGTACGTGGGGAAACAATAGACATATAATTATAGACGCAATAGACTTGTTAAAACGGGGCACGTACATATGAAATGCAATCGTTTGTTATTCCGAAAGAACTAGTCTAGCTGCTTCGGACGCAGGATATTATGTTGAGTATATCCTGTGCATAAATGCACGTTTCTGATATGCAGAGAATGTGTATTTGTCTTCATTTTAAAAGGATTGTTGTATTATTGTTTCATTTTCCCTTAATTCCATCAGACTCTTGTCAAACCTAACCAAATTAATGTCATTGTTCGCTGCATGTTATCTGTCGTCAAACCAAAATAAACAAGAGCCGGTGAAAGACATTTTCACATTGTCAAACAAGCTTTCATTTCTCAGGGGAGAGGAAGACATTCTACGCCGATTTTTTTTTTTTTTTTTTTGACAGTACATAAAAAGAAAATGCAAACTATAGGCAGAAAAATAAATTGTAGAAACTGCACTAATGGAAATGGCAAAATCGACTGACGCACTTGCGTCTTCCGGTGGATCTACACAATGACGCTCCGCTAATTGCAACACCGGAGAGACAGGTGCAACACAGCGCCGATGCGAAGTCAGGTTGTTTTTTATTTCCCCGAGGGAATACATTAAAATTGGATGAATACGAGGTGACGTCACAAACTGTAATTGCAAAGTCTACGCACGCATTCAAGTGGACTTTCTCTGCCTTGGGTGTGAAGGGATGCGATATTAAGATGTTGTGGAGGTATATTGATTATGAATCAAAGTTGGTGTATGTCAGAAAAGGGCCAGGAAATTAATCGGTGGAATTTTGAAATCTACACTCCAAAAATTGTGTTTAACACTTAAAATAAATCTTGCTGTCACTTTGTAAATATGTTCAATCAATGTTCAATTGCTAAATATCACCCAACAATACTCTAAACATGTTAAGTATTTTTAAACATGTTTACAAAGCAATAGCAAGAAGATGTTTCGTAAGTCACTACCTTATAAAGTCATGTGTATAATAGGGCACACAAGATTGTATACGTCTCCACTGGGCAATTTCTATAGGTGAATACAAGGTTATCATGAAATAGATGTTTGGATTCTACTCAAAAACTAGGAATTTCCAAGGTGTGTTGATGTGTCGCAAATTAAGGTATTTTATGTAAGTCCGAATTCCAGCCCATCATCTGGTTAAGATAGGAGCATTTTGAAACTAAATTTTCACATTCTAAAATTTTAGTACACGAGAACAAAGCAATGACTTTACAAGGATACACATTCCCAACAAACTGTTGTGGTTACCGTATACGCGGGAGAATTGTTGAGAATGAAACGAGATTAAATGAACAAAAATATTCGAATGAAAAGCAACTGGAAATATAGATCAAATATCAACTTGTAAAGTACAGCAATCGTGCCTTTTGTTTTTCAATGATAGCAGACAACATGCAGAATAAATCAAATAAACATGAATGACTAAAGGAGCAATAATATCATGGTTTCTCACATTCCGTGAAAACAATGGAACTGATAACGATTTGTTGAGCTTGCGAAATGTTAGTCGATGTAAAAGACCACGGCAAATGCCATGGTCTGTTATGCGTGAACAGCAACACTGCATTCGAAATGACCAATCAAACCAATTTAGTCCTGATTTAGGAATGAAATGACATCACGATTTTGTGAAAACGACTCCAATTAGCTGACGCGCGGCTTGCATAATCTGCATGTCAAGACATATCAGACGTTATACAGGAGATTGGCTCCGTGGATAACGGGTGATACTCAGACTAACGAAATGTATGGTGACTCTTCACTTAGGACGAAATGTCCTAAATTTACAATCTTGAATTTTTTTTTGTAAATCGATATTACGAATTTCAGACATCCCCCCCCCCCCAAAAAAAAAAAATGGCGATATTGATTACATGTACAAAGATTGCGGATGACTATATTTTAATAATCATAATTGGACGAAACAAAAATCACAATATAGGCAAAATCAAATGTCAAATATCTGAAAATTAAGCAAGGGCGCGAAGCGCAAATGCCCATTACGTGAAGCAGTTAAAACCGTATAGCCCCGCGGGCAAGGCAAACCGTGACGGGAACAGCAAAGGAAAAAAACAGAGTCCGCAAGATACACCATAATTATTGTCATGGGACTCATTTTTGACCATGGACGCAATTCCAGCGGGGAAATTGAGTGCTTGACACTTACAAGTGGGCTCACAATTAAATTACTTCATATTTTGATTTCCTCAAACCAGGAGGTTAATCGTGCTGGCGGCACCATGGGGAGGATGTGTTATTCCTCCATGGTAGCACATAGATGCAATGTTCAGTATGGCGATGTATAGCAATGATAGAATTGGTAATAATTACATGTATTGTTTAAACTATAAACACAGATTCTTTTGTGTTGGCTTATACCTGTTCTTTATACAATGTTAAAATCGATTTGTAGGACAATGTTCACTATCATCTTCTCGATTTAATGTCCTTACAATGTGAAAGTAATCGATGCGCATGACGCATAATTGTATAATAATTCTTCACCCTTATCATCACAATCTAATTTTCTTTGACTTGTAACACATGACAAAAAAACATACAATTTTTGAACTATCAAAACAAATATTTTACAATTAGATTCTAAAATGGAATTGGTACCTTAACACATGTCTCGAATCTGTTTGAAACAAGACCAAGAAGCTATCCTTCAACGTGTAAAATGAACCGTGGAGACAAACCATCCATCAAACAACACGCAGTATGGTTTATGATTTACCGGTCATGCACGCTTGCTTCAAGATCCACAAGATCTGAAAAAACATTCGCAGTCAATTGAATAAATAAGTACAGATGGATAGCCACTTACCGGAGCATATCCACAGGATAAGCAGCGAGCGTACCACCGTCATGGCTACCTGTGAACTCGTTCCTTTCCTCCGTCCCTCAGAGGCCATTTTGCTTTTTCCCCTTTTTTCCAGAAGCGCCGGTAAAACCGTAGGCCAGAATGAGATGTAAAGTATATGATTCCCCCTCTCTCCCTCACAGACACACGCACTGTGTAGAGCCTACGGTAGACTCTCTTGTTGTTGCCGTGATGATGATGCGGAGGAGGCGATCGATGATGATGAAGGGGATCACGTGATGCAAATCAATTAGGAATGCCAAGACGGTTGGCTGTGTGTCATTGACGGAGCACGGCGCGCAGCGGGCGAGTCGACGCTGCCACTGCCGTTAGTGCACCACTCTCCACGGCCTCTTGTGATCGATGAAACTGCGCTGAACCGCCAGGAAACCCCTATACACCTCTCACACACTACACTCGGTCGAGCGAAAATAAAACACTTCCTGTGGTCATTTATTAACCACAGTGAGCTCCGGCATTGCAGTTTGGTGATCTTTTTTTCCCCCGAAAATAGGAATCAAATACTCACTGTAATTATGAGTGGAAAATGAGCTAATTAATTAGACATAATGGTAATTCGGTGCATGAAATATCGCGTACTACTAAACGAAAATGATATGGTTATTTTGTGTCAGATTTGTTTGTTTGTGTATGTAATCCGTACAATAAAAAGACAAAAACACTACAGAACGTAAAGGTAAAATACAATATTTGCAAACGTCAAAAAAAAAAAAAATACCAAATTATTACCTTACTTGACTGTTAGTAGATAATGGTCTCAAGCATCTTGTGAAATCACAGCACCTGGTGTGCTGTAATTTCAAGAAAAGTGGATTTTTTTGCATCGATTTCCAACGATGGTCGGTCGGGGTTTTTTTCTTCCAAATACGGCCCCCACTACCAAATTTTAGTTAGTCCACATTTTGTTTGCAATCGGTTACATGCCATGAATGGGTGCAAGCCAGCCAGTCTGGTTCCCTGACCTGACAATTCCCTGACTTCTACAAATTGCTCAGTTTCGTCTGAAGAAGGATCATGCAAACAGACTACAAGTCTTAGAATAGGATTTTTTCTTGGTTTTTCCAGTATCCATGAACAAAACTCTTTAAACAGTTCAGCGTTACAATATTTGCTTTAAAATAGAATCCCCCAAATCCATCCATTTCTGAAAATCTGAATGTTTTTGTCGATTTCAAGGAGCAACAAAACATTAAATCTAAAACATGCTTTATAAAAAAAAAACTAACATGTCAAAATTTCAGCTCGGTAGATATCACACATTTTGAGAAAACTGTGAAAATACACTTTCATTTTTCTCGACGCAAAGCATAGGTTTTCCCTAAAATTGACAGCAGACTAGGCGCAACAATTTCAAAGATGTATGATACTATTACCAACAATCAAGTAGGATATTTCATGATATTTTGACAGTTTCATTTTTGAATGTTTGCAAATGGCGTCCATGACCCTTAAATTAATCGTTTGGGGTCAGACGGACCTTCATTAAGTTCATAATTTCATGAATTGTGTGATTTTTAGTTCTGCCTGAGTGGTCGATTAATTTCATCTACATGTACATCTATTCCATTTTGCCTTTCAACTTTTGATAAGGTGAGGTAACTGTGCATGAAAGGCCGAATACAGCAGCGTTTAACGGGCTGTTCACGCTGTGTGCCGGTCAGAGTCAAGTGGGCTCTTGAAATGACCGAGCCTCCACCGCCAGCGATGATTTTATCGCTCGGCTCTAAAGCGTTGGATTTGTCCGGGCTGTTGAATCTTAATGAAGGGGCCACTCTTCACAAGACGGGGCCTCGGGAAAAGTCATTATGCAGTAGAATTCTGACAGGAAGAATATAATTAGAAGATGATTTTGCTCAACTCCCTTAATCTTGAAACAATGTGCACACTTAAAAGCGGTTTCGGCAATATCGCTGGTTATTGGAATCAACGAATCAGGCTTTCGAGTTCGGCGCTATGTCTAGATTATAGCGACACATTGACCAAGATTTGTGACAAATTCCAGGGGCGGATCCAGGAATTTTTGTCAAAGGGGGGTTCTTCAGCAAATCAAAGCTGAAATGTAGACAGGTTTTTTTCTCCGCACACTTGGTCTCTGTAAAATCTTTTTTTTTTGGGGGGGGGGGGGCTCGTACCATACTTTCAATGGGGGCGCTGTTTAAATCCGATGATCATCAACACTATATTACAGAATAGTGTAGAATTACCCCCGTAACCCAGCTGGCTCTGACCGAATTTTGTGCACAGGCAGATGCTATTACCAGTATAATTGTCATATGTTGGGTTGGGTTTTTTTTTTGGGGGGGGGGGGAGGGTGTCAGAGCAGGGGGTTCTACATTTTTTTAATGTATTTCTATGAAAAAAAACATTTTGAGTCAGAGCTGGGGGGTTGACCACCTACACCCCCCCCCCCCCCCATCCGCGCCTGATAGTTCCTTTATAATCTTGCAACTGACACCCCGTGCAATGTGCCTATTGTGTATAAACTTGGTCTGACACGTTTGTTTGTTTATTTTCCATTTGCATTACAAAAATACAATGAGAAATTACAAGAAGCTGTTAATTATAAATCATTTAAGTTAACTGAGAAGTACAAATGGGGATTACATCCAGAGGAGGTAAACCCTCATGTAATGGAGCACCCAGACTGCTGGTAAATGTTGCAGTAGGTTCGAATTAAGATGTTTACTGATACCATAACTTAGGCACACTTATCGAGATTAAAGAAAATTGTATTGAAGAGAAATAAATAAGACGTGTTTAGTGTCCTACTTCTTTAAGACATGTACAACAGTTCAAGTTAGGAATGATGAAATCATTATATTTAATTAAATAAAACTCTTTAAGATGTTTTATCAAGCGCTTCCTTGAAAAAAATAGTGATATTTTCTCTATTGACAAGGAGGACAAAAATTGACAATTTTTTGAAGAATATTTCGATAAATCGAAAAAGCAACATCAACTCTGCTGATACCATAATGAACAAGAATATCTGGTCTTGTGGAGAAAGAATGCAATTCAAGGGAAAACATTGGAATGACTTAGATTTTCTGGAAGAAAATTATGAAGATAATCAAAATAATGAATTGCATAATTGTAAATATCTTCCACCTTAAGAAATTTATGTTTAGAACAGAGGGGTGTGGTGTGTGCATTGTACGTGGCATGACAAGCATTACGATATTTTTTGTAAAGTAATAAGCCTTTCAGTTCGGTCTAAAATCAACCACTCAATCCGAAGTCAATTTGCTCCCGGGTGGGACAATGTCTTGTTTTTAATTGCTATCTTTTCTAGCAATACAACACTTATTCATTCTTGAATGAAACATAGAAAAAAATAGCTATGGAATATTAATGTAGAATTATTTGCGGCCTGACAATAATCCAGGCGTATCTTCTGTGCAGTATGGGCGCAAAAGCAATTAAGCCTTTTCCGTTCAAATAAAACATGCAAATTGAAAAATCGTCATGAAACATTTTATGTTGAAGAGCATTCGTCGCTGTGTAAAAATGTCCGTTAACACGCATGACAGTATTCGACACCTTCATTGTGCATTGTGTTGTTGTCAGCGGCGGCGGAACGGTTTTCAAACTGTGGGGGGGGGGGGGGGGGGAACACCAAAAGGGCTAGGCTGGTACCATCTTTCAAAATAGGGGGCGCTCTTCTAAACCGGCCATTATGCAAACTACGCATTATGTTAGGGTTTTGGGGATTGGTTTTCATATTCCTTTGGGAAATTTTGGGAAATGGTTACTGAATAAAATTATCGAAATTTTAGGGACAGTTTTGTTTTCAGCTCGAGGGGCACATTTGTGCTCGAGGGGGCACATTAATTTTATGTCCGCAAGAGGGGCACTTGGGGAAATCTGGGGGGGGGGGGGGAGTGCCGCCCCTGGTTGTTGTTGTTATTTTTATTATCTAGCTATTTTCACTAGTTGCGAAATCAAAGCCATCTTGCAGACAAAAACAGTTGAACATCAACATTAAGATCATTGCACCGTTCGGAACCATTTTATTCGTGCGATAAGAATTGAGCATGCCGAAAAAAGGCAAATGTAACTTTCATCAAACGGAAAGAACCTTGCAACCCTTGCAACTATAGTTGAGTTCAGGCTGTAAATTTCAATCATACTGACATACAGATTAGGCTTCCAGAATGAAAAGAAATTTAGGCGTTAAATAAGCAGCAGGGAAAGTCCACTTTTAGAACTTCGCCTCACGCGTACTGGGCTATAGTCTACAATACTAAGTTTGAGTAAATAGAAACTTTTACTTATACAAATCTGATCAAATTATGAGTTTGCTCCTCTTTTTCCACTACTAGCTACACCCAATTGGACAGTACATGTATAGATGTGCTGGAAATTAAGTGCATTCAGATTCCTTTTCTTTCTACAAAACCAATCACGAAATGTCATTGACTAGGGCCTTGACTGCATGCTAGTAGCTTTCAATTGTCCTGGGTTATTAGTCAATAGTGTCAGTTTAATCAATGCTTTCGGAGCTAATTAGTGAACCGCAGCGTGGCACCACAACATGCAGGCGGTTGACCCTCAGTGGGTACCTTGCTGCGCCCAGTGTGGCCCGACCCACCATAATCTCTTTGACAACTCGTAAGCATTGAGGTGCCGTCTCTGTCCGGATTAGGGGGTGGTTGGGATGGGCGGTGCCTTTACGGCCTTAGGTTGGCTCAGCTTTTGATTGGGTTGGAAGAGGAGGGGTGACTGACAACGAAAGCCACAACACGGGATAAAAACCTCAGCTGATATGATCACTTCATCATTTGATCGAGATTTAATCTTCGAACAAGAGACCTCCAAGTTAACATCATCCTTTCGAGTTCGTAGTTCTTCAGAAGTTTTTTCATAGAGATGGATTTCAAGATCGCCACCGCTCTGAACCTCCCCGCCGAGCTGGTCTGGTTCAGCCGGCAGTCCTACGCGGAGGAGTTGTTATCGTCCTCGTCATCCTCGTCATCTACCGACTGTGGGCTGGACGACTTGCCGTGTCTCTACGGCGGGCACTTCCCCGAGATGCCGCATGACCTGGGAAGCGACGGCACCCAGTCCCCGGGTCGGGACGACTCCGATGACGAGGCAGAGAGCAGCGGGGATGACTACACCCACGCTCTCTACGCTCAGGAGCAGCTGTTGATGGAGGACGCTGACAGCAGTTTTGAGTTTGGTAAGTACCTCAACAATGCTTTCTAATTTTTAGTTGAAGTTTTCACGAGGAGTCGGAGAGGTTTTCCTGATCACCCACGTCTCAATTCCCAATGTGACCATTACTAAAAAAACCAATTTTAGCGCTCTTAGACAAGTAGATCCTTCTTGCAAATCCAGCAGTCGTTGCATTTATTTCTCCGCCCCCAATTCCCTTAACAATTCTCGAAGCAAAAAGGTGCTTAATATTTATCAACTGCAAAGAAGGTTCGCTCAACTGTTATTAAAGTGCTTAAAAAGTCTCCGTGCTAAGAGCTTTTTGTTTTGATATCTTTATTGTGATATTTCCTTTCTTTCTTCTGTTTCTCAGGTGTTGACAAGACCGACAGAAGTCTGTCTTACCAGCCTTCATCCCCCCGTCCGACCAGCTGCCTGCCCCCGGCCAGTTCTCCTCCTTCATCGCCAGACCAACGCCTGTCAGCGGTTCTTGAGATCAGTTACACCCCGTCTCCCTCCGCTACCGTCCCTTCACCGTCACCGCAACCGGAGCTGATGGTCGTCCCAAGCCCAGTCCCAATGGAGACGCTGCAAGCTCCGGTGGTCATCTCCCAGCTCCATGACCTCGGCGCCCGTCGTTCCGTGTCTGTTGCACCGTGGCAGAGGGCCGTACTCCGGGAGGCTCACGGCAGGGACGGCAGTCGGCCTGGGCGGGCACAGCTTCGGGAGTTGGCTCAGCGCACTCACCTCCCGGTATCAGTTGTTTCGGTAAGTTGGAATGCTTTCTTACATCTTACTCCCTGTCCTCTTGATCTTCCGTCTTCTCTTTCTTCATTTTTCATTCTTGTATCTTTTTGATTCCTTGTTTTCTCGTTTCTTTTCTCTCTCGTTCTTTTCTTTGTCGATTCTTTTCTTTCTCGTTTCTTTTCACTCTTCTCTGTGTTTCTGTGATGATCACGGATAATCCTGCCAATCATTAACTCTTGTTTTTTTCTCTTTTCTCCCCCTTTTTCCATAGTGGTGGTTTGTCGAGCAGCGAAGGATCAGCTTCCATCGGGCCAAGTTCGGGTTCTGCTTCACCGGGCCAGCTTCAAGGCCGTCCCGGACGATCAAGATTTCAGCCACCGATCGCTATAGCAGACACTAAGTGTATCTTTTCACTTGTAAATCTATCCTTCACCAATATTTTAATTCGGAGTACTTCAAACCGAGTTATTCCCTTGCTATAAATTTTGGTATCTGTCGTGTAAATTTTGTACATATTTTCATATTTTCTATCTTAAGTTTTGGATCTCAGAGCTTTACAAGCTTACTGAGCATCGTAGCTTTCAGAGCTGAGCCAGTTTCTTGCAGTAGTACAAAAGAACGACTTTGTAAATTTTTGTAAATATTTCAATTAAAACATTCAGTTAGAGGTTTGGAATTTTGAGATTTTAAATTTAATATGATGAGTTTAATGATGTAAATGATAAGATTGCAAATCAGTGATTGCCAGAATAAAACTTTGTTTTAATCATGTACATGATCTATTGACTCGTTCTAATTGTTTATTTCCGAGTGTATATTCATACGTTCTGATAAAGTTAAGTTTGTCCCAAGTTTTGAGCACTCCAGAAGATGCAGTTATATATAATAGACGCAGGTTACTTCTAACAAAGTAAGGCTCATATTGGTACCCCGAGGCCCCTCGCTGATGGTTGAATATTTGAAATTACTTAAATAAATAAATTTAACCTCTTTTCTTTTTAATCGATGAAAAAAAAAACATTTCGCAATTCTAATTTAGGTGTCCCTGCTTAACATTTCAGGGCATGTGCGGATCCGGGGGGGGGGGGGGGGGGGGTGACAGGGGCCATCCACCATTAATTGTTGTTAAAGAATAAAAGTCAGGTCCACTTTTTTAAATAAATGCTACCCATCCTATTTCCCAAAGAAAGCCCAACTGAAGTTAGTATGCAACTATTTCTTCGAGTGGGGACGGCTCCCGAGGTGATCCATTGAGCGTTCTGCAGTAGCCGGTATTTGTTTTAGAACTCCTCATCCACATAATTGTGATAACTGCTTAATTGAACCAAATTAATTTAACCTTCCATTTCAATATGAAATTCATTAAAAATGTACTTGCTCTTTTCCAAATTATAATGTATCCCTTCATGAAATGTTTGATCCCAACACTCGATCTGTCCCGCGTGAGGGCGCACATCTGCAATGCACACAGACATCTGGTTGGTTTACGTACATGTATGTTTGTCAGAAGGCGGCGGCCGTTGTACATTTTTGGCCGTGCACAGCAAGATAGTAAAAATGGCCAATGCAATGTAACTCACTCTTGGCCAACCAAGATACAGAATTCAGTGGCCCTTTTTTTTTACTAGTGGCCTTTTACGAGTGCGTTTTTGTGGAATTCCGCGCGACCGTCGGGAATGCACCCCTGTAAAGCGCCACCTATTGTGCGATAGGGTCCATGCTCGTCCGGTTTGACAGCGCCCCATAGGAAGATGGTATTGGTACCAGCCCCTCCCCCCAACTCACACACACACTTTTGATTTTACATGATGGCCAGACGAAGTTACAAACGATTTACATGCCAGATTGAAATACTCTGAAAAAGATTTAATCTATTAGAAACTCTATTCTTTTACTAGTGGAAATCTATTGAATTGAATTGCGAAAACGTCTGCTGGTCCCTATAGGCTAGTCGTTGGAAAAAAAAGTCAAAATCTACTTGGCTCCGCCCAGTGAACTGAAGACAGTAAGCCAATGGCGTTCCCCCGCCCCCACTCCCACCTGAAATGTTTACAAGAAATCGCCGCCTCTGTCGGAAAGAGACATTCATTGGCACACTTGTTCTTTTTTATTTGACACGATTCGTGAAATACTGCAAAGTTAATCATCCAATAGAACCTCGACGCAGGATGACCGCTTTAGCAGATTTTCTGGCTAGATCTGACAGATAATGAAGGGAAAATACCGAATCTAGCAGAATTTTGAAGTGCATCTAGCGGAACTCTGCCATTTCATCTGGGCCCAATTTCACGGCGCTGCTAAGCACAAAAATTTGCTTAGCACAAAAAAAAGTCTGGCTTGTGAAAGCAGGTTTCCAGCCAAAACTCCACGTGATTTTCATGCTAAGCAAACAACAGCTGAATACTAATCACGAGCAATATACATCATATGGAGTTTTGGCTGGTAACCTGCTTTTATAAGCCAGTCTTTTTTTGTGCTCAGCAAATTTTTGTGCTTAGCAGCGCCGTGAAATTGGCCCCAGGTCACACGTACATAATACTGTGCGTGCTTGCATCAACATTTGACACGCTTATTGTTCGTTTTTGATATATTTTTTGAATTCTTGGTGATTTAGCAGATTTTATTCAATGATTCTTGCAGATTTTTGAAATGCATCTAACAGAATTGTTCGATTTTCATCTGGTCACACTGCCTCGACCTCACGTAGCCATACACTAAGCAGCTGAATGAGAACCTGTCCGAGTGCCGATTTGGGGATTTTACACGAGAAGGTGCAATTGAAAATATGAATCGGGCGTGCTAGTAACGGAATCCACTTACGTGACAGAAATCTTCTGCGTATAGATTTTCTCTGTCTTCTCAAAATGTAGCTTCCAATATGCTGAAACTTCAACATGTTAGTTAGGGCACCCGAATTAAGTGAATAATTCTATTGCTCAAAAAAAGGCAGAAAATACAAACGACCCCTACTATCCTTAAAGTCAGTGCCCCTTCATGTCCATTTTTGAGAATAATAGACTCAAGCCTTATCAAGTCAACATTATAACAAGGATAATCCCGTATTATTCACCATGTACACGATCAAGTCTGACTCGTTGGGGATTATGAGGAGTAGTTAGTTTGCTTTCTGCCTTGTCCATGCAACTAGAGCGCTACTGTCTGTCACTTGACTTTTTACGATACTGAGAATGATGAGGGTATGCCTGTTTGAAAGTTATTCACGGTGCAGTGATATACGATTACAACTTTAATGTAAAGGCCTAACTTTACGGCATAAACTAGCCTACCCGACGCCGATTCACTTTTTAAAACGTCTCCATTTGGCATATAATCTATCATCCCGATTCCCATAGGCCTATGTGCAGGGGCGAATTTAGCTTTCAGGAAACGGGGGGACTGGGGTGTCGATATGAAGGGAAGTGCCCCCGGAAATTTGAAATCTACAATGCTTTCTCCTGCACTCTAAGACAATCTGAGAATTATTAGGAACTTTAGCATTTATTTTATTATTTTTGGCCCCATTTTTTTCTGCATGTAGTATCAACGTCTGGGGGGGGGTGCCTGCACCTCCCAACCCCCTCATATCCGATTGGGTAAACGGCTTTAAAACCACTTCAAAATCAAGTGTTACGCCCCGTCCTCCATCATGTTATGTTTAGCATTGGGTTAGCTGATAAGCTTTCATATTTTTGAACTAGGAGCGACCTAAATACCTACAACATTAGTGCAATATATTTTGGAAGACCAAAAAGTGTGTGTACAGTTAGTTCGCAACATTCGTTCAAAACTGTAGTTTTTCAAAGACTGATTTCGGGCGCATATTCAGTGAAATATTTCAGCAGAGCCAAGCACGTGTAACATTGATCCCTTTGCTTTTATCTTAACACTCAGCATCACGTAACACAGTGGGGTTGTTACCCCCCCCCCCCCCCCCACCCCCAGTTGAATTGAAGTATGATTTCTTTTCTTTTCCTTAGTTGAAAAGGATGAATTCTATAAGCCTTTGGAAGCGGTCTGCGAGCGCCGGCCTGCATTGAGGCGGCACTCACAGACGTCAGCGGTGCTCTCACATTGCGGCCGCGGCAGCCGCCCGTTCAAAGCCCCCGTTGGCAGCAAGTCACAGCTTTTGAGCAGTTCTGGGACCAAAACTCAGCGGGGTAGCATCTTACCCGTCTCTAAACAAATCGGCGTATAAGTTAAAACAGCCAAAAGGAAAGGGGCGGGCAGAAATCGACCAAAAGAGGACAACACAAAAAATAGCAAACTTGGTTGGTCCTAACCATCGCGAGGATATGATGGTAATTCGTCTTTTTTTCGAAAATGACATCACACCAGGCGCACTGATTTACGGGATGCTTGATCCTATTATTTACTATACAATCAAGTAGGATATTTCATGATGTTTTGACAGCTTCATTTTTGATTGTTTACCTTTACCTTTAACGTCCGATCCTCTAACGTTTTGATTTGTATTTCAGGTGTCTGTAACAAGTTTATTCGTTTTTCACATTCCAAATTTAACTTCACAACTTCTGGAGTACATGAAAGAACACCCGTTTCCTAAGGTTCAGGCGCGGTTCTAGAGCCAATATTTTTGGGGGCTAGCAAAATTTGTTTCAGGGAGTCGTGGTGAAATGTACAACGGCTATTTTCTCCGGACACTAAGCCTCCGAAAATCAATGCTGATAAAATCGTACAATCAGGCACACTATATTAACTAAAATTGTACAAATGCACCCTTCTCACGACTATTTATTTAGGGGGAGACCGTTCGCATTTACGTCACATTCTTAAATTTTGCTAGTGCAAATTTTTTTTATAGAATTTTTTTTGGGGGGGGGCTAGACTATAAGGTTATTTAAAACTTGGCTATACATGTACCATGCAAGGGTTGATCCAGAGCACAATATGGTTTTTTTGGAGGGGGGGGGGCCAAAAAGTTTGGTCCTCCAAAAAGTGGGTCCAAAAAATTACGGCGTGGGGTTCGGGGCCAGCTTCAGGGCCCGTATTTTTATTTTATTTTTGGATTCTAGATGCTCTGTGGTGCGATCTCAGGCAATTTCTTACCACTTTGACTATTTTGTTTTGAGGAAAAGATGGTTGTGTACGCAGTGCCTTCCTTTATTGCAACGTCACTTAAAAACAAAAACAATTGGGTTCGTTTTTCAGATGGGGGGGGATGGCCCCCGTTGCCCCCCCCCCCATACGCCCTTGGTACCACGTGTTTTCGGGAGACGAGCTTTGAAATTCCAACCCAAAAAGTTTTAGTCCCGCAAGAACTAGTTTCCCTCCCCTCTTCAAAATGTTTTATTTTTACTCTCCTGACGAATCTCCGATTTGTATGTTTTAATTTAGGTATAGAAATAATTACAGTTTTCTATTTTGGGGCATCTGCAACCCCGCTTTGTTCATTTGACGATTAACGAACAAAAAGATCCCACTGAATTATTATCCATCGGGCCTCACCTCATTAGAGATTTTCCTGTTCGATGTCTCATTAAAAAAATGCTAGAAACGATGGTTATATATATTTAAAAAGCACAGAGAGCATCTTTAAGTATGTTTTTGATAACGTCCCCCAAAAAGAAAAGTCAGTTATCATGATAACGCTCTTTTCAGCCATATTTTTAATCCGTAAGACAATTCATCCAATGGCGGCAGTTGCGAATATTGGGGGTGCAACCCCCGTCCAAGCGCTAGCGCTAACTAACGGTATGATTCTAGTAAAATGAGGCAAAACCTAATAGATGGACGCTTAAGTTCCAAAATTTATTCCCA